TATAAACCAGCTTAGGATGGTCTAGTGATAATCTAGTGTTACACAGATGCTAAACATTAAACAAATTGACTGAAACGAAACCAATGATGCCCAGAATCGCGCTTCCAATGCCACATACTGACTAGATGGCAGCCTCTTCTTTCGAGCCGTCTACTTCAACCCGTGTGTTCAACCCATCTTTCTCCCGCCGTCTATTCTCTAAATAGAACCTTCCCGCCTCATACATGCTCAAGTACATACTGAGCGAGACAGCCGTCCACGCAGCGCGAATTGCACCGCCCTTGAAGAGGCCTCTGATCCCTTCATTGCGATAGATCTCCTTCCCCACTTTGAGCGTTCCCCGGCCAGCGGTCTTCTTCTTCGCGCTTTCATCCCCACCACCCTTGTTATTCTCACTGGCCGAAAGCATCATCCTCGTCTTGATCACATCAATCGGGGTCGTCACGACCGACGCGATCATCCCGGACACCGAGGCCGACATCCCCGTCAGCGCCGCCCTCTCCACCAGCGGATCCCACTCCCGCGTCTGTATCCCACCATCCTCCTTCCGCCTCTTCCTCCACTCCACGAGATGCGACCTGAAAAACTCAAACATGGGGAAATTCAGCCCCGTAAAGGGCAGATTGCGCCCCACCAGCGCCGTGTACCCGCTCCACAGCTTCCAGGGCCGATGCTTGAACCGAGCGATAACCTGCGTCATGGCGCTCTTTGCATCTTGCCCGCCCTTGCTGGCGTTCACGTTGGTGACCTGCGCGTTCTGCTTTAGGACCTCGGCGGGCGTCATCATGAGGCAGGCGACCATTTCCGCGGTCGAGGAGGAGATGGCGTGGATGATGGGTTGCGGGAGGGAGTGTGTGAAGGGGAGAGGGTTGTTTTCTGGGTTGTGGTGGTGTGTTGAGGCGTTCGTCAGGGTGTACTTGACTGCTTCGTAGGTGGTGAAGAAGGCTCCTGCTGTTTCATTTGTTGGATCTCGTTCACGCGCAGATACATAGAGGAACGGAAGAACATACAACCTGGTATTGTGGACAGCACCACGCTCCACATTCCCTGGTATAAGCCTCCGTAGAGGGCCTTTCGGCGCACGGCTCCTGTCGCTGCATCCTTGTAGAGTCGGTTGTAGTCGGGCGATTGGACTCGGGTTTTGAGGGTGTCGAAGGGGTAGACGATCAAGTCTACGGTCACTGCAGCAAATGCTCCGGCCTGTAAAAGCTGTTTAGCATCCGAATATGCAAGATAGGTGTCAAAATTGAAACGAGTGTCTTGCTCGAGTGGTACTAGTGTGACGTAGAGGTATACAAGCCCAGTATGGAGACTCACAATCCAGATGTCGAGATTACTGTTGTACATAGAGAATGATGCGGCAAAAGGCTCTAGGGCTCTATTATGATTCTATGGAATGCAAATAAGAAAATGGAAATATCCAAGACCGGAAATGCATGGCTGAGTGAGCTCATTGTAGCTTGTCGCATTGTCTATCTACCTTATCTAATCGGGTTATCGATTACAACGATGCATTATGAGGTCATGATTGCTCACGTGCAAAGCAGTACCCTAACCTTGTTAGGGTATGGTACCTGTGCCTGTGCCTGGCCCATCCAAGTGCCTGTCGATCTCAAAGAGACAGCGTTCAGAAAAGTCCCAAAATAGTAGGCTATACGTCAACTCAGAAAGGATGTGCTCTCAGGTCATACCCATAACTCTATTCGTCAAATGGAATAAGCAAACAGGAAACATATTAACAGTGGAATATAAGAATTTTTCCTGCCTACGCCATAAGGTCATGCAAGTCCCAAAATCCCCATAGATCGAGATAAATCATCACGAGCCCGGCCACACGCTTATTTGGCGGTCTCACCAGGCAACAGGTTCCCCTTCACAGCAAACATCTTTCCAGTCGTGGCCGAAACAAAGCTGTCAACCTGGCGCGCGTACTGATCCACCTGCCGGCTGTTCAGCATGCTCTCGAGGCGGCTAGGCTCCTGGGGCAGCTTGAACAGGCGCTGCCACTCATCCTCGGGCAGAAGAGGCTGCTTGAGCGTCGCACGAGTGGCGTTCTCCTGCTTGCGCTTCTGCTGCCAAGCGTTGATTCTCTGCTGCTCGCGCGCGAGCGAGCGCTGGTAGTACTGGAAGTTGTTAGTCTCAGTGTGGTGAGTCTCAATGCTGTCCAGGAGCAGGTCGCAGTTCTTCTCCAGGAAGGGGTCGATGCTAAGGGTGAGGTTGTCGTAGTTGGGGGCGAGAATAGACGACTTGACGAAGGGGCCGGATTCCAGGGCGGCCAGCGATGGGGGAAGATCCGTAGGAGCAGGAATGTTGGGGGTCTGAAGCTGGTGGATGAAGGAGGTGATCAGGTGAGAGTTGTGAATCTCCACAGGAAGCTCAACAAAGATATCCTGGTATCTCAGGCCGGACTTTTGCAACCTATCGTTCAGTTAGCATCACAGTCTTCTCATCCTCTTCAAGCGTCGTGCTGAAGACGGAAAATCGTAGACATACTCCTCTGAGGTGAACTTGTTCTCCTTAAAAGAAGTCATGAATTTGGGAGACAGGCGGAACGCTCTGAGGCTCAGGCTTCCCTGAGAGCTACGGCTGACGTCGTGCACGAGAGCTACCGTCCTCTCATTCATTTCCTTCTGGTAAAAGAACTGGTTCTCGATCACGTTCATGTTGACAAAGTTGCCCATGTTGGCGCTCGTATACCAACCAACGTTGTTGGCGTCCACGTTAACCTCTCGAAGCATACGGATCATCTCCGCCTGGTAGACGGTGTTGGCCTTAGCGCGAGGAGCGGCGGCGGCAGGGTTGGCAGCAGTATTGTCAAAGTGCGACTCGGGAGGCACCTCGACGACGGGGAACGGGAAGCTGTTTGTGATTTCCAGGGTTCCACCAACATCCATGCCAACGATCGATCCGGTCGCTGCCGTCGGGAAATTCTGAGAGCAGTGCTTCATAATCTTCATGACCACCTGTAGACGCGTCGCATGAGTATGAATTCTTCATTGACCAGCTTGGATAAAGCGGGGTGGGTTTTTTCCTGGGGAAGATGATCATACCAAGGCCTCGACCTTGACGGCCGTGAGGGGGGTTTCGTTCCTGTTTAAATCGATTAGTCGGGGGCTCTTGATATCATTTCCGCGGTATCATCACTTACTCCGCCATGTTGGATATAGCAGGCTGGGGAATGCTTTTGACAGCGACGATGGTTGATAGTCAGGCGTTGGTTTGTGTGGATGAATTGAACAATTTCCCACCGCCTAAGGCCATAATAGGTTTAGCGTGCCAAGACCGCTTGGGAAAAGAGACCAACAACATCACTCTGCGATTCAATCCTCTATGTATTCGGTGTCTCAGATTATGGATGGATTTATGACTGATTTCTTCATCGCGTCATTAACGACGGACCTCGTTAGCCTTCAGTGTGCACAGTCATGATGGTCCGAATTAAGGAGTAATGAGCCACTGCACCATTAGAGACCCTGCTCACTAGTAGTCGGCAGTGGCTATGCCACCTCGGCCCCTCTTGATCGATAAGCCATTTTCAGTCTACTTGACATTCGAGTTACTCGTCCAGTGCATCGAGGACTAGCTCTCGGACTCAAATATAACGTCGTAATGCCTACAGGAACACTTCAGTATGGAGACCACAACCTCCAAACAGTGACAATCTCCACCGTATCAGACAACCTCAATGCAGGCTATTGGGTGATGTATACAACCCAGAATCCCCAGATCTCAAAGAAATCTTGATTGACAATACGGTGAGCAAGACTGATCCACGGCGGAGCCTGGAGAGACCCAATTCAAACAGCCGGCTCGTACCTCGCCCCGGCCGAGTCCATCCTCACTACATCCCCAGCATACACCTCCACGATCCTTCCGCACATCGCGGCCTTTGCATCGATCGAGTACCGATTGAGTGCCCATCCGGGTTACCCACAGAGTCCCGATCACACCGATCGTACTGAATACCGCAATGCCAAACATCCAGACCATATCCGCGACGTGCAAGCAGCTCTGGCTCTTCTGCAGCGCAAGTATGGGTTCGGGACCAGGTATATCCTCGTCGGGCACAGCGCTGGTGCGACTTTGGCCTTTCAATTGGTGATGGGGGCTTTCCGGGACAGCGCTGCTGCTGTCGTTTCTCCTCCAGCCGCAATACTGGGGATGGCGGGTATTTATGATTTACGACTTCTGCGTGATACCCATCGGCATATTTCTGCGTATCAAGAGTTTATTGAAGGGGCCTTCGGTCCTGACGAAGCGGTGTGGGATGCCGCCTCCCCAGCCTCTGTGAAAGGCTCTGAGGGAGTTGAGGGAGGATGGACATCTGGTCGACTGGCTGTGCTGGCGCACTCGCCCGAAGATGGGCTTGTGGACGCTGCCCAGCAGCAGGCGATGCAAGCTACTCTAAGTCGCTGGGAGGGCAGCACACCGCAAGGTAGTGGCCAGAGACGAATTGAAATGCTCTCTGTCAAAGGCAACCATGATGACGCCTGGATGAAGGGAGACGAGCTGGCAAGGGCCATTGCACATACGTTAGCGGAGCTACAGAAAAAGTAGCGCTGCCTCAATAGTGCTAAATTATGTTGTAGTTTGAGGCTCTACTGACTCGTCCTACGCTACGATTCTACAAGATAGAGGGAATGGTCAAAGAAGCGTCTGCCGACTATCGCGAGTCATTTCATGGATTACAAAAATCCTTGTTTCATCACGATTAACGTCCGGAGGGACGTCCTAGGGAGGATGTGAAAGTAGTACACATTAGAAGGGAAAGGGCAAAGCCGTTTTCAAAACTCGCCAACGCCCACCCAGTGTTCATCATCATGATTGTCAATTACATGCAAATGAAAATGTAAACTCCGTAATACGCCTGGTATTCGGTTAAAGCCAGCTGGTGAGAATGTATCAGAAAAATGAAGAGGACCACCCGGCGCCAATTGCGACAGTCGAGAAGCGCATCGCGAAATGTGCAGAGCTCTTTTGGATAGATGCTGAAGGGCGATTCAGTTGCCGAGGTCCATACGACCCGAGGCAGCGTCACCCAAAAGCTTCTCTTCCTTGACTTCAGAGGCCTGGTCTTCAACCTCAGAGTCTTCCTCATCGTCATCCTCCACCTCGCTGTCTTCGGCGTATTTCACCTCCACGCCGGCTTCGTTAAGACGGCTTCTCATCTGCTCACGATAGCGATCCTGCCAGCGGGCCAGAGCGGCACTGGCATGCACGCGGAAACCGTAGATGCGGGGCTCATAGCGGCGAGTGCTCTTGGGAGGAACCAGATTGGGAAACACCTGAAAGAAGATGCTATGGAAAGAGGAACCGAAGTAGGCGCCGTCGATAGAGGAGTGACGAGAAGACTTAGGATTGTAGATATCCTCGCACTTGGCGCAGTAGAGTCTGACAGTGCTCTGGTTCGCAATATCGTGCAAGCCCATCGGGAGGAGGTGCTGACCCTCGCACAAAACGCGGGGGCATTTGCCGAAGTCGCCATTTTTGTACTTTTCAGCCTAAGCGAAGAAGAGGTCAGCTGTTGATCCTATACTCACACGTGGTGCACTGGTAACAATAACACATACCATCTTGCCAAGGCCACGAGTAGTGACAATGTATCTTGCGTGAACCAGGCCGTAGAGATGACGGGCGGACTTCTCGATCTGCTCGCGTAGATCGTCATCCGCATCGAGATCAAAGACGTCGGTCACAAGGTCCAGCGCATACTGGTAGTAAGGAACTTCAGTGTTGAGGCCGGTAAGATTGAAGCGATCGGTCAAGTATTCCTCGTCGATCTCGCAAAAATACTCGTTTCCGCGGGAGGAAATGAACTGCGTGGTATACTGTGAGCAAGGCATCGCGGATGGAGGATTATTGCGTCCCCAGAAACAGAGGTTGTAGAATCTTTCATTAGATTCATTGCCTCGAGCGTGAGCGAAAAGATCCTCACTAGCCGAAGACTCGGTCATTGTGAAAGGGTAGGTTTAGGATGTAGAGGAGAGTTGGTGGATGCGTGGTAGGATGATGCTGGTGCGCATGAGGTGAAATTGAGCTCTAGCAAGCTCTCTAGGAGAGACCTCAATGTTTTCACCAGCCGCAATTGCATCGTGAGGGCAGCCACGACCCATCTTCTGAGATGAACATCCAAGCCGCATCACACCCCAACAGCGCTTAGGTTAAAAAGAAACAGATTCAGACTCACCCAATCTCTCCAGTAGCTAGTGTAATCACTATCAGTCTCACTGTTAAAGTCCTCCATCATGTTTACTGTTTAAGTCGGCCACGAAATGAGGGGAAGAAAGTGGTGTTGGTTTGCTCTGCCTGTAGCAGTTACTGAGAGAAGGCTGGATTTGGCAGCCCCAAACCAACAGAGCTCTCAGAACCGTACAGCTATGGGAGATTCTTCCTCAGAGCATAGAAAAGCCAATTCTTAAATGGTGGACAGCGATCAAAGGGTTAGGAACAGAGATTATGAGATAATGTTAGATAGAAATCGCAGTGTGTGTGTCTCCTCTATTCTGTTTGACTGTTATCAGTGGATCACACTCTTCTGGTTAGCGCCGGGTTGGCGGTGAACATTTTGCCTAACGGGCATCACCGCCTTCATCATTTCTCTTTCTGGAGACTACCTTTGCATAGGCTCATAGCTTGTGGCCACTGGTTCCCATGTGCTGTGTTGTTGCATTACGCCTCAAAGAACCGCAGAGAAGTTGCATATCTTTGATCAACACAATACTCTGAGGTTATGGTCATCGAACAGAAAGTGCTATATACAACAAGCTTCTGCTGAGAAGAATACAGTAAAAAGAGAGTATCCGATCAAACTACCCAGTGATCCTCTGACCTCGTCTAGAACGAGGGGTTGGCGTTCTTGAGAAGCTGTTCGAAATAGGCCTGTGTCCTACTCGTTAGTGTAGCCACGGATTTGGACGGAGTTGCCTTAGGAACATACATGGAACCAGGTGCCAGCTTCAGGGGCTGGTTTGAGAGCGTCCTCGAGTCCACAGTGCGCATCGTAGCGTTTAGCAGGTATCCGAAGTGCCATCACTCTCACCACCGGGCTTAACCCAGACAAAAGCATCCACCAACTTATCTCCTGTGTCAGCGGTAGGCTGGACTCCGAAGCCAGTGCCAATCACATTGCACCAGTTCCCCCATGCAAGCTGTCCAGTGGGCTGCTTTCCGTTGCGGCCTATGAAGGAATCTTGTTAGGCGATGTGCAGCTGGCTAGCATGGTAGGACTTCCTGGTATCGACGATGAAATGAGCATCGAATCCAGCGCTGGCCAACTGTGGGGCGAAGTTGTTGATATAGATCTTTTCGTCGCAGACAGCATTTCCTTGGGTGTAAGAGGGGCACGTCGTGGCGACGAAGGCATTATAGTTAGCCACGTTGGTCACAAGACCACGCACAGAAGCAGGCGAACTTGCGTTCTTGTACACGGATGCATACAGTTCGGCTGCTGGGCCAATGTTCGCAGGCCAGCCCAGCCATCCAGCATGTCCTGTGCAACATACTCAGCAAGGCATCCTGCCCAACGATCACATGGGGCGCATGCAGCCAACTTACCAGCGTCGAGATATATCGCAACATTAGGGGCACTGAGTTTAGATTGGCTGGCGTAATTAGGCTTTCAGAATAGGCAGATGGCGTTGCGCCACCTCCAAGGTTAATATATAATATGCCTCCCTCGATATACAATTGTAGTGATTCCTGCAGCCAGCAAGCAATACCTGTAGGTATTGTCGCAGAATTGGTGTTCCACTCGATGTATATTCTGCAAACTACGAAGTACTCGCAGGATATTGATTTCTTAATTACATTCAGATATGTTATTTGAGAGCTAAAAAAAGAAACGACTGTCAAAGTCTGTGTAGATGATAGAACAACAAGAAAAGAAAAGAAAATCACTTAACGAAAGTGCTCGGCACGATCACATTCAGCCAGGAACCTGTGAATGCCTTCAACTCCTTCGTACTCTGATGCGCTCTCATGGAAACCGGCGCTGGAAACCTCAGGAAAGAAGGCACGATCGCCAAGTTCGCTCACGTTGATGCTGGAATATCCTGAAGAGGATGATACCCAAGGATTCTTGTCGGCAAAGATTGGAGAGTCTTCGAAACTAAGCCCATTGCTCGACTTTCGAGGATTCTCAGGCGAGTAACATGTCCCATCCTCTGAGGTCATCATTGCCTGCCAATCGACCTCATCAGGAGATTGTCCTTCCGACGCTTCTTGTCGGAAAAAGAACTCAGCCACATCCGAAGAAGCTGATACGCTAGGAGCAAATGGGAAGAGGAGTGCGAGATCAGCTCCTGTTCGGAGGTCGAAATCCTCATCCTGGCTAACCCGTCCTCGTTGGACACCGACCTCGTCGCATAGTCGCTCAACCGTCTCAGCATCGCACCCTGGAAATCGCACTCGGATGATGGATCTGTCATGTAAAGAGATAGGTAGATCACCCAGTGACGATAAACGCTTGAGATCATTAAGTACGGCAGCCAAATCTTTCAGAGCACGTGCGAAGTCGGCGGAGAGGAAGGACAAGGTGTCCGAGTTCAACGTTTCCACGTGGTGAACACCGGCAGAGGCAGCCTTTTTCTGAAGTCCAAAGGCTGTAATAGTTGGAGAAATCTGGAAATCGATGAAGGAACCGGAAGCCATGAGAGGGATCGCCGCCATCTCACGCCCAGCCTGATCTTGGAGCGCGCTCACAGCCTTGTACCTCTTCTGTCCCGTAATAGGGTCGATGCCGTCAAATCTGGCTTTCTGGCCCGAGAGGAAAAAGGCTCGCACGCCCATGGACACGTTGTTGATCACCTGTGCAGGAGAAGCTGGACCATGCGAAAAATAACGGGCACCACCAATACGTCCGGCACCAATGGTATAGCCTCCAGCCGTGCGGCCAAGAGTGCCACCGGTCAAGTTGGGGCGGAGAGTCGACGCAAACGGGGCACGACTAGTCAAGCGACCGATATTGGCTGCAACACGGGATTGGCGATACGCTGCGTGATCCCCTTGCAAGCCATTTTTAAGTGAGGAAACGAAGGAGTTTGCAGCACGAGTAGAGAAATAGCGATTGCTGCGGGATTGGCGGATAGCGGCAGCTCGGCTGATGGGCTGGCGGGTAGGAATACGTGCATAAGCTGGTTGAAGTCGAAGCGAGACTTGCTGAGCTGGCTCAGGAAACTTGGCCTTGAGCGTCTTCAGGGCCTTCTCATAGGCAAACCTGGGGAAAGTCAGATTATTGAAGTATACCACTATCAAGCAATGAGAACTCACCTTGCTGCTCGCCAGAATTTCGGGAGCAACAGGTGCCCACTGGAAGGCGGCATCCTGACGATAATAGAAAGGTGCTTCTAAAGAAGAATGGAGGATGAAAATACCATTCTCTTGATGGATTGATGATGGGAGAATGGATGATGAACGACGGTGCCTGGGGAATCGATGACTCCGCACGCGGTGGCGGTGCAGCTGATCTGCTGACGCCACGTGCTTATTGTTAGAGGGACCTTGCCACTGACATCTATGAGAACTATTTTCGAGTTGGATATTTCACATTTACCCCTCTACTATTTGAGACACATAACGGTGTCTGGTAAATACTAGCACCGGAAATTCCCTTGGGACGCAGTTAATGTAACTGGATTATGGCCTCATCTCTCTCATCTCTGGGCTCGGAGTCGATCTGTTCCATTTAGTGATAAGGATTATCCGACTTTCAATGCTAGTGAGGAAGAGCGTTGAAGATTCAGTTCAGACTAAAATTACTAGAGGTCTGCTGATAGACTTGACTGTTAACCTCTCTAATCCACTTTAAATACTTGAGCGGATATACAAAGCAATTCGATCTATCAATTGGATATCTAGATAAGTCAGACACGCAGCGACATTTCACAAGATATGCGCATCATCAGTTAAGAAACATTTACTCGTCATCACCAAAGAAAACCTTGACGGGCAGCCAGCTGTCACCACAGACCTTGAAGCGGTCCTTGAGGTTATCCAATTGATTTACCTCGTCGGCTGTGAGATCCCAACCATCAAGCTCAAAGTTGGTTTCAATGCGCTCCTTGTTGACAGACTTTGGGATTACACTCCATCCTTTCTGTAGACCCCACTGAAGCAGAACCTGCTGAGGGGTCTTGCCCTTCTTTTCCGCGATTTGCAAGAGAGTCTGATCCTTGTACAAAGGAGAGTTTGTTGAGCCAAGGCAAGAGTAGCCGGTAGAATGAATACCCTTGGAAGTGTTGTAGGCCACGAGCTTAGGCGAGGGGTTGTTCGGGTGCAGTTCAATCTGGTTGACTGCGGGGAGAATCTTGGTGCTTGGGTCGTTGAGAAGCTTCTCAAGGTTTCTGATACCAAAGTTAGAAACACCAATGTTGCGGACCTTGCCAGTGGCGGGCAGTTTCTGCATCTCTTGCCTATGGTACTTGTTATTATAACAACATTCCTTATTGAAAAATTCCAGAAGCTTACCATGTCTTGATGAAGTCCCAGTCAGGAAGGTGCTTCGACTTATCATTGGGATCGGTCGAGCATGGCCAGTGCATAAGGTAAAGATCGACGTAGTCGACACCAAGGCTCTTGAGAGACGAGTCAATTCCCTCTTGGACACGGTGATGCCATGTGTTATCGAGCTTGGTGGTAATCCAGATCTCTTCGCGAGGAACACCGGAGTCCATGATGCCCTGGCCTACTTCAGCTTCGTTACCGTAGGCGAGGGCACTAAGATTGGTCAGTCCAGCAGAACCTTTGACATGATGAACAGAGGCACGTTCAACTCACGTGTCAATATGGCGATAACCCTTCAACAGAGCAATTTTGACGGCCTCTCTGACTTCGTTGGGCTTAGATTGCCAGGTACCGAGACCGACTGCGGGGATCTTGTCACCCGTGTTCAGGGTGTAGGTCTTCCTACAGATTGGAAATTGTTAGCGAAGCAATTCTCTTGCGCATCACCATCTCACGATCACGTACTTCGTATGCTCGAGAGTCGACATTTTGCACGAATGAACAAAGGATATACTAGCTGATATTCTGGACTGGAATGCAGCTGCAGTAGGGAACGATGGTTCTCGGGAGAGAACATGGAAGACAAGGGGTGAAAGAGGGATTTATAAGCTGCCTTGAGCTCCGAGCCGCGAGAAACCGCATAGTTAGGCAGGTCCAAGCAGGAGGCTATGACGCTATACGAGCTACGATGGGCGGAGTCGCCCCTCTCAAAGAGTGGGGGAGCATCCGTAGATATGTCTGGCCAACATAGGGAGCAATTATCCGAGCGGTATGCCTCATTATCCAGGCATTCCTCATTTGAGCAAATAGCAGAACCTAGAGAGGTACATCGAAAGACAAGGTCTGAAGATCCCTTGTAAAGCATGGCATCTATCGATTCAGAGGCCAGGAATGTCAGATAAGCATTTCAGGCTGTAAACCACCTGCACTATTTGGAGTAGTTCCAGCTTATCTGGGTTCCTGGATGGAACCTCGCAATGTTGCAAACTTGCATTGGCAAAAGTCCAGTGAGTGGGCCTGCATCCACATGCATTTTGCCTAAAATGGACTTGATTAGGAGAATACTTAGTACAAGGCGGTGACGGCAACAGTAGCCATTCACCGCCTTGATTTCTGCCAGTCCATCAGAACATTACCCCAACGCAAGCTCAAGATTCTCCCTGCACCATCAGCGCCGAACGACGCAAATGCTAAACTCGGATATTCCTTAATCAAGTATCGTTATTGATTGCCGAAGACAAGTGATTACTACGTATTTGGTGTCACATCTGCATCATACTCCCGGAGTATCCTGCATCTACAGACACAGAGCCCCCCATCCTAAGGGGAAGAGTCGAGATGTCGTCTGGTTTCGTGGCTGCTGGAACCGATCAGGAGCCAGTAGAGCGTGATGATGAATGGCGTCGTGCACAGCACGAATTGGAGGAGGAGCGGAGACGCAAGGCGGAGCTAGGCAGGCAGGAGGGCGGGAAAAGTCTGTATGATGTCTTGCAGCAGAACAAGAGTAAGTACCACATCGCGCAAAGGCAGCTTGCGGTGCTCTCTTGGATAGATCCCATTTGGACTGACATGTTAGGATGATTGTTCTGCTGCGTAGTGGCCAAGCAGGAAGCTTTTGAAGAGAAGATAAAACTGAAGAACCAGTTCCGGTCTCTGGACGAGGACGAAGTGGAGTTCCTCGACTCCATCATGGAGTCGACGCGTGCTCAAGAAGCGGCCGTGAAGAAAGAGACTGCAGAGCAGCTTGAACTATTCCGTCGACAGCGAGAAGAAGCAGAGAAAGCTTTGCTGGAAAATTCATCAGCAGATGTTTTGCTGTCCAACGAAGGAGAGGACTGGAAGATTCCTGCACGGAAGAGACGACGGGATAAAAACAAAGAACTCTTGTTACCAGGCAAGAGACGGAAATCCGCGAGTGAAGGCGCTGCGGAACGGCCTTCGCCCAGCGAAAGTAAAGCAGACGCTCCCAAAATGCAATCTCCTTCGAAAGATAGCAAAACACCAGCCGCTGTTGAAGTGCCACCGGCTGCAGAGGATGCCAAGACGACGAAGTCCTTGGGGCCCTCTTCTACGTCAGATCCGCAGAAAGCGAATGCAAGTCTGCCAGCAGCAAAGTCATCCACATTGTCCCTCGGGTTAGCCGGGTATAGTTCTGACTCCGAATGAATATGCAACACAAACTTATTCACACAGTAACTACATTTGGTTCATTAGAATAGTTCGTCCGTTCATGTCATGAACACTGGCATGTGGAATTATCCAATAGACACCCCGTTAAGTTCCACCTCCGAGAAAATAGTCTATTACACTTCTCTCAGATACAGATGGCAATGCCGCTTTATCTTCTTCTAGTTGCAGTCAGGCACTCATGAGAACAATAATTACCCGTACTTGCTGTTCGTTATGACGACTGAGATATTGGTCAAAAACTAACCTTCTTGAATAGTCTATGTACATTCTCCCAATTAGTTAACAAAGTGTCAACGAAAGAGCAAAATACTAGACATTCTCACTCCATCTCAGACATATACAGCTCGAGCAACGTGCCATGGGATTGTGGAAATAGCTTGGTCCTCACTCCCCGACTAGCTGCACTCTTCTCGTCATTATCAAAGAATTCACTCGTGATGCGTCGCAAAAACAGCCCGTTTCTCTTCTTGTTCCTCGAGCTTGCGCTCCAAGTCGTGCGGGGTATAATCCTCCTTGCGGGTACCAGGCACGATCCAGGGAGCGTTGGAGAACAGGTAGTTCATCTCCTCGAGAGGCAATTTCTTGGTCTCGGGAAGGAGCAGCCAGAAAAACAGTGCATTAGTGAAATTGCAGATAATGAAGAGGTAGTAGTAGCGGTAACGAATATTTGTCATGGCGATCGGCGTCACTTGACCGATCATGGTGTTGAACGCAAACGATGTCATTGTGGCAATGGAGACACCCTTCGAACGTGTCCGTGTGTCGAATACTTCGGCAGGGATAATCCACGAAAGGGGACCGCAGGTGCACGAGAAGGAGAAGTTGTACAACCAGGTCATGATGATGAAGCCCCAGTGAGCACCGGTGTTGTTGGCTTCAGGAGGGAACCGCGCCAGCAGGATACACGCGATGATGAAGGTGACCATGTTGCCCAGGTTGCCACCGATGAGAGTCCAGCGGCGACCGAAACGATCAATGAACGCCATGCATAGGCACTCCGCGACCAAAGCGATGATTGAATTGATCGCCTGGTACTTGAGCGTGTCGTCGCCCGCAATGCCGATCTGTTTATAGATTGTCACAGAATAGTATCTGCAAGGTTTCTCATCGTTAAAATCACACTGCTAGTCGTCACATATGGAGAATACTCACTGGATCGCCGAGACACCAGTCATTTGCACGGACGCCTGCACGGCACAGCATAGGAAAAGGCGGCGGAAGGACGACCGATTAGTGAATAACTCAATGTAGGACTTGGCCTCGTGCTCGTGCTCATACACAATGCTCTCCTGAATCTGATTGTACTCTGCGCGCACCCACGCGTCATCCTCATTACCATGAGCATGGAGCTTTGCGAGGGTCTGTAGGCCCTTTTCGTTGAAGCCATGGTCAATAAGCCAACGAGGTGACTGTTCTTGTGTTAGCACCGCATTCTGTAAGGGAAGCATTCTATCTTATCACCTCAGGGAAGAACATGATCAGTAGACCCAGGACGACTGCAGGAGCGATCTGCAGACCAAGTGGAACTTGCCACTGAGCGTTGTTCGATGGATGAAATCCGACGTAGGTTCCATATGAGATCCACGCGGCACACAGCGCACCGACACCCAGCATGAACTGCTGCAAGGCTGTCACACGGCCTCGAATCTTGGGGTGGCAGATTTCGGCTTGGTACATGGGAACAATCATGGTGAGGAAACCAACTCTGGGTTCTCCATTAGCAAGGTCGCCCGGTCTGCTTGAGGGCATTCAACCTACCCGAGCCCGGCGAAGAATCTTCCGGTGTACAAGTATGCAATGGTCTGGGCACCAGTTTGAAGACCGCCTCCGAGGCAGAAGACTAGGCAACCGATCGCGATGGTCCATCGTCGTCCCAAATAATCACCGCTGGGACCGGCAAACCCTGCCCCAAAGAAGGCTCCCGTCGTGAACATGGACACTACCAACCCACTACGCAGGCGTCAAACTTCATGAGCCCTCTAACCAGCAAAAGCAGATACACTCACGTTTGCGTGTCATTTGCGGCAAACTTTGCCTCGAAAGATTTACACGCAATGACCTCTGCAATGACACCCAAATCATCTTGACACCGCAGGTCAGCGCTGTGAACACTCAAGGTCCAGCGGATAGTATACGTACAGCCAAAAAGGAACGAACCCAGGGAGGCGAAGACGCCCACCAGGAACTAGCCACCGACAGGTCAGTATAGAGTCAAGTACCTGAGGCATTGCTGCACATACCTGGTACCACGACGGACTCAAGCGCATGATCACACCAATAAAGGATCTGGATTAATAGTAACAACGATTATTCCTCTGGGGAAAACCAAAAAAATGCGGAGAATGAAAAGGATCGTCCTGGGGTGCTCCGCAGGGCCTTTTTAAGGACATCTACTCCGTACTGGGGTTCAGATTCTCGCAATCGAGTGGTAGCACCACGCGACGCAATAAAGTCAACGCCATATCGTTTATCGTGCAGCAACGACCTCTCGCGAAGCTTAGAACAGGAATATCCGGCGGAGTAATTGCCAAAAGGCCAAGTTTCCTTGATCGGGGCACCTCGCGCAGCACCTTCAAATTCTGAGCAGACTGGCTAAATGTGAAACCAACAAATCCTGCCGCACGTCAATCACTCTTAAACCCACGGCAAGGGAAAGCCGAAAGACAGCCATAGCCGGGCTATGTGGGGAGCTAGTTTCGCTGTCAGAAAGTCGAAAGCAACAAATCAGAGCAGAACATCACCAGGAGAGCAAGCAAGCTGATTGATGGAACAACTGGTGGCGTTTGCTCGGCTCCAACACTAAGCAGGAATCCCCAGCCAACTGTTCCAGTTGTCATCAGCTACGGCGCTCAACATCTCCTCATCAGTGGAATCATCGTTAGAGGCCTGGATTTTCCCCCGCAGGGAATTTGCCCAATTCAATATAATGATGGAGCGATGGCCGAGGATAAATCCAGAATACAAGCTGGAGTTTGAGAGCGCCTTATCGAGACGAATCAGTTGCGGTTGCTTCGGATAATAGTACTGATTCATTATTATTCCTTCTTCCCCAGTCTATCGTTCCTGTTGGGCTTTGAGATCTCTTAGTCGTCGAATATACTTGACTCATTTCGCCGGGATTTGTTGACTGCCAACTCCCATCATGACTACTTTCACGAAGCTCAGTGAGCAGGAGACACCAAGTATCTCCGTTCATGCATCGCGACGCATTTCCAAGATCAACCCTAATATCTATGCCGGGTTCACAGAGTAAGACCAATCCATGCTTGATGCTGAAGACATTGCAACTCCGAGCGTGTGCTAACCTATGATCTCAGGCATATGGGCCGATGTATTTATGGAGGCATCTATGACCCAGGCAATCCTCTGTCGGACGAGAATGGCTTTCGTAAAGATGTACTGGAAGCCCTCAAGGAGTTGAACATCCCTGTTGTTCGTTACCCTGGTGGTAATTTTACGGCTACATATCACTGGATTGATGGTGTCGGTCCCAAAGATCAACGGCCTGCAAGGTAACTGCATCTCCAGCTAGAGCTTTAGGAATTAGCCTTTGAGCGAATTGTTAACTCAATCATGGCTCTAAGACCCGAGCTGGCTTGGCTGGGAACTGAGACCAACCAGTTTGGAACAGACGAGTTCCTGAAGTGGTGCGAGCTTCTTGGAACTGAGCCTTACTTTTGCTTGAACTTTGGCACAGGTACGATACGGTCCAGCTGTTCTATAATGCGAATGCTGACATTTGACTCCAGGGACTCTCGATGAAGGTAAAGCATGCCAGCTTCGTACTTCCTTTCGGCTTATACTAATGTGGGTGTCTAGCTCTTGCGTGGGTTGAGTACTGTAACGGTACAAAAGACACTTATTATGCCAATCTCCGGAGGAAGAATGGCCGTGAAGAGCCTTATAATGTATGTCATCTGTGCTACTGGTCATTTGCCAGGCAATAACATAGACTCTAGATCAAGTACTGGGCTCTTGGTAACGAAGTGTGGGGACCATGGCAGGTCGCCCAGATGACCAAGGAGGAGTACGCTCACAAGGCCTACCAGTGGGCAAAGGGTGAGAACCTATTCGCTTCGACTCCGCAAGAACCAACCAGTCATGCTAATATACTTCCTAGCGCTGAAGCTGCTTGACCCCACTCTGAAGTTGATCCTCTGTGGCCAAGACGGCACTGCCTCATGGGACTACTACACACTGAAACATTGCCTGCTTCCCGCTCACTCGCCTCTCTCTACTAGCACCGTCCCTCTCATCGACATGCACAGTATCCATCTCTACACCTGCGGTTCAACTCATCTCCCCAACATCACTGCTCCCCTAGCCGCTGAACGCGCGATTGAGATTACCTCGTCCCTCATCGACCTTGCCATGATTGAGAACGGTATTCCTCCTGACCAGCCGCGGCCCACAATCTGCTTTGACGAGTGGAACGTGTGGGACCCCCTGCGCGCTGAGGGCAGCAAGGGCGCTGAGGAAAGCTATACCCTCTCCGACGCTCTGGCCGTGGCCATCTGGCTCAACGTCTTTGTGCGTAAGAGCAGAGACGTCGGGATGGCCTGTATTGCACAGAGCGTCAATGTCATCTCCCCCTTGATGACGACCAAGGACGGTATCATAAAGCAGACTATCTGGTGGCCCTTGTACCTGTTCTCGAAGTATATGCGAGGCTGGACCATCAATGCGCACGTCTCTTGCGGTGCCTATGAGGGCGAAACGAGTCCCAAGTGGATCCGCGCCGTCAAGGACACACCCTGGCTGGATGTCAGTGCCACCTTGGGAGAGGACGGATATGTTAATGTTGCTGTCGTCAACATCAGCGACGAAAAGGATATGGAGAGCAAGTTCGAGGGGGCTACTGGTGATGTCACTGTATTCGTGGTCACTGGAAACAGTGTCTCGGCCTGCAACATGAAGGGAAAACAGGAAGTTGGCCTGACGGAAAGCACTTGGGACGGCAAGGGTGCCTACAAGTTCCCCAAGCACTCGTTCACTCTACTTAGGTGGAAGGCGGAGCAAGTTTAGAGCTCTGAAGACTACTCTAATCTTCTTCTTCACTCCGTTGTTCCTTCGGGTTTCTTTCGGCCTAATGATACTCTACGGGAATATAGAAACGACTCATGATAGACATCACATCACATTATTTCATCAATCCAGGACATGTCTCATCACACGTGATTAGGAGTAAGACTTTCGTATAGATCCTAAACCATCAACTGTCATATTCCAACATCGTAACTCAACCAAAGTTGACATCCTTGACTTTATCCTCTTCGTCAAGGTGGATGTTGAGTCTGGCAAATAACAAGTCATCAGAATTTGTCCATATCAACGTAGATATAATAACTAGGCAGGCATGCATACCTTTCCGGTCTATGATCCATAGTCATCGCGTCACCGGGACGAAGAACTCGATGGTGCTCGGGTAAATCCTTCTTCGCAAAGGTCTGTTCACCATCAGCAACCTAATTTACGATCAGAGTAAAATAGTCCGAAATCGCACATTCACATCGCTGGTAGAGTCACTGATTTTTTTGCCGGCGAGCTTGTTGAGCCATTCGCCCTTATCAGAACCCATGTTCGAGTTGATTCCTGGGACGACAAGAGGCATGGTGAACTGCGTTTGTGTAAAAAATGTTCGTGTTATTGAGCTGCGAAAAGGGAAGGGCTGAGATATTCCCATTCAAGTATGTGTTGATGATGTTCCTGATGGCGTATTCTCAAATGCTGGGGATTTATATAGCTTGAAGGCAGCAATGATAAGCGACCATGACGTCGTTTGTGGAGAAGCAGGCATCTAGATCTATATATCCTTTTTGGGATTAGTGTATCTGCCGCCATGATTATGATTTCACCGTCACGTGCTGTGTCTTCTGTGCTTTGTGTCCCCTTCATCAACATATGGTTTTTAAGTAGAGAGGTATATGGTTGTGAAGTGGTTTGTGTGTCGCTATATGCCTCGGAAAATTATGGTCAATGTTTATCAGCCAGTGAGTAGTCTTCACCAAGTGCCAGAATTGCTTCCATCGTAACGTCTTTTCAGACATTGCAACAAGGTCTCCGAGATGTCCAAGTCTTCGTCACAACGCAACTCAATCCTCCCGTCTTACATTGTGCCTCATTAAAGCTTTGGAGATTATGCATGTTTTGATGCTGATATCCAGCGTTGCGTCTGTTGGTTGAAAGTATACAAAATGCGCAGAAGGAAGGTGCGTCGACCACTGCCATCGTGCCTGCTTTTACCGGCACAGTACCGAGCCTCAGCTGCTCAGAGAGTAACATGTGAATGATTTCCATCCAGATCTTCCTCACGGTGGTTCCTCCACTCATTGTACCTATGTCTTGAGTGTGAGGTTTTTATTATGGTATCCTGAGTCGACCTTTTGGAAACCAGGATGCAAGGAAGCCTACTCGTCATGCTCGCATTACTTTGTAGTGCCATGTACACTCTCCAGTCGGGCTCTCCCTTGAATTTCTGCTCTCCAGAACCTTCCATCGTGTCATCAGCATTGCTGCCGTCACGATCCGGAGTGGTATCCGCTTCAATACCATTATCAACCGCTCCGAAAGGGATTCGTTCATGGCCAAAGGATAGATGGGACAGCATCTACAATTTCTTCAAAGATAAACTGCATATTCAGCAACTGAGCCTCAGAGGAGATGACCGATTCGAGCTGAGCGATGAGGTCGATACATCCGACGATTCCACGCACTTAGATTTCACCACTGGCTTGGGGGGCTCGACAAAGCATCAATCGTCGATAGGGATGGAGACACGCACAGAATCTACAAAATCGCACAGATTGGCTTCGAAGAAGACCCGATGCACATGTACGCCCACAGCAGTATACAAGAGAACCGTGAGCTCAACCGCGGATTCCGTGACACCAACACCATCGCATAAGTCCTTTCTCCCGCATTGGAGCTACAAGAAGAGCTCCATTGCTGCCGCGGTAGTATTCATAGTTATTACCACTGTGGCTTTTATAGCCCTGACCGTCCTCCTCATCAGAAGGCTTCGACAATCCTGGAAGCGATACAAGAAAGGGAAACGCGATTACGCAAATTCTAAATACGCTGCAGTATCTCCTCTCGACGACAACATTGCTACCTACTCATTTTGCAGCACGCCGAAAATCAGACACAGCCGCGAATTGTCGATATCTGACAACAGCGGTCCAACTACTAAGACATACGTCGCGGAAGAGGCAACGAGGCTGGAAGCCGTGACTCGAGCACTTTGCGCAAACGCAGATGCCATGCCGGTTTCGCCTCTTGGCTCATTTGCTGCTCCAAAGCAGTCAGAAGCCAGGCTCCCACAAGCGTCTGTGCAAGAGCGCCCAGGGAAATCCGAATTGCCCACGGAGCCATGGCGGGCCGGCTTTGTTCCGAAGCAAGTGGTCGTTGTGTCTCCATTGAATCGAATGGTGTCAGGGAAAGTAGCAGAGATTGGGTGGCAATCATCGTTGAGAACTATCGATGAATTAAGCTTGCCTGAGCCGCAAGCAGGCCCTCAAAGGCCACACCGAAAAGCTCGGCGCGAGGTCCGCAACCAAATTCCGTCTACAGATCAACTTTTCCGTCTTCCATCAATCGAGAGAAGCACGTCACCTCTTTTCGAATTCTGAATGTACGTGCCACTTAGTTTTAAGCGTTTAATCCTCGTGGATCGCGATGTCAAAGGCGCCATAGCTTTGAGTAGAGTGCCCTTCCCAAATCTCTCAGGCACTGGTAACGCTCGTCGAGAGCTTTTGAATACTCGGGATTTGTCAATTGCTTAGTGGTTCTAATGGGCATTCCCAGAAGTCAGAACTTTGTTTGGTCGTAGGCTGTACACACCAGAGGCATGACTATTGAACACATACCCACGTCGCTGGAAAGAAAAGGTCCAGGAGTTGTACATTCTTGAATCTCTTTTTCCTCACAAGTTGTATAAATATCGAACATGATCCCTTCTAAAAGGAAGAATGGCAGACAATGCATTGATGCCACCGTACCTCATCCTCATTTTCATCAGCGTCGTCACAGATGTAGTGGGTCATTAAAAATTAAAGGCTTTGAACGAGAAGGAAGTAGGCACAAAACTATTCTATAGGCAAGCAAACGAACCAGGGCCGCATAAAGTCTATCTATCGTACTGTACGGTTTACTTCATCTCCCGTATCCGGTTCAAGCACCGTTCAAGGCGTTTCCCTCGCTCCTTTTCTCGGACCAGGGTGGACCTGACGAAGGCGCGGATGGCGTCCCGGCCGACTTTCTCCCGCCAAGATGTCCACCCGGCGAGTTCCCCGACCACAACATCCTTGTTCCATGAGATTTCCCGGGAGAGGCGTCCGATATGGACTTCAGCCTCTTGGATCTTCTGTTCCAGATCGCGAACTGACATCTGTCGGGATTCCTCCATGCCCGGAAAGTTGATGTTGAATTTCCGGGGCAAGGACGAGGAGATGAGAGAGGAGCGATTGCGGGAGAGATTACGGGTTGTGGATTGTAGATTCGATACGAGCGAAGTAGGGCGGGAGAGCGAACCAAGTATTGCGACACTCGTGTTGTCGATCGAGGCAAAGACGGATAGGAACTGAAGAAGCGGAGATGAGTCTGAGGATGAGGTTGACAAATAGGAGGCGTAGCGGGCGAAAGCGTCCACATGTGAATGGGGGAGCGCGTTTGTGGGCTCCTGGAGAGTCGAGACTACCGACGAGCACAGGGCCAGCGCGTCGGCCATATCTGACGCCGCATTCTGCAAGGAATGACCACGGCGAATCAGACTGCGCGTGCTGGCATGAAGGGCACGAACCATGTCCTGGGCCTGGGCCACGAATTGTTCTGTCTCACGCATGCCTTCAACTGTCACAGGCGCGTAGTCGTCCGCAATCGACTCGGAGAGTACCAACGCCTTGCGCCGGGACCTGTCCGTCATCATCTCCGGCTGCAGCTCGGGCACTAGGAAGAACTCCCACAGCATCTCGTGGGTCGCAAAGGTTGGGTGGGTAAGCAGGATTTTCAAGAATCTGTCTAGTCTCTCTTGCATGTTGTGGAGAACAGACCGAGATGGTTTGGAATGGATTTGAAAAGGATTGCGAAAGTCCGAAAAGGACGGAATATAAGAGGCCGGATGCTCCATTGCGAGGCACTGGGCAAGATTCTCGAAGTCCGAGAGGGTGCGACGGCATGTAGTGACAGTGTAGGTGGTGGAACCAGCTCGAGATTCGTCTGACAGGGGCTGAGAGCTTGGGGCGCCGGACTTCAACACAAAGCGTACTGTGGCATCCTCAACGAAATACGAGCGTACAACTGTGGTGACACGACCAGATGGATCATCATATGTCGAGGGGGAATTTGAAACGAGAATGAGATCATCAATGCGATTACGGACTTCATCATCTTTGGCGAGCTCGACGGCCGTCAATCCGCGAGCTTCCTTGAGGTGAACGTCGACCCGGGGATCCAAAAAAAGGATACGCACTTGATCGACGCGGCCGTACTTACTAGCCATCATCAGAGGCGTGAACTTCTTCTCGTTGGTTGCGTTTGGGTCACAATCGCTCTCCCGTAGAATTCGAATTGTGATCTCTGGATCACCGACGATGTGTAGCAGTGTATTTCCCTTCGAGTCCACATGATCGTCCAGCCGCAAAGGCAAGCCGTCTCCCTGAGATCTTTGAGCGGCGGTCAACGCCTCGTTGACCATCGATTTATAATCAGGATGATCATAAGATCTGCACAGAGCAAAGAGCGGCGTCTGGCCATTTCTGTCACGTTGTCGCCAAGGAATGAGTCTTTCCAGTCTATACATTACTGACGGCGTACTGAATAAATAGTGAGCAACTGTGCGTCCATGCATGTCTGCTTTTTTGAGGTAACCAGCAATTGTTCGCTCGTCAGTTGCACTGAACAGAAAGTCGAGCAAAGTTTCTACCATTTCAGGATGAGCGAGTTGCACTGCGGCACTGAGTAACGTTGTTCCATCCGTGTTTGTATCCCCGAGAATGTCTTCCAATGAGTAGTACTCTTCTAGGCTCAGCAAGTACTTGAGAGCCTCCGGCTGGCGACTGTCAATGGCCATCATGGGAATTGAATCACCCGCGGGATCTTGCGTTTTTGTCAACGTCTCGATTGAGCTGTCCCCTTCTATTGCACTGGTCATTGATTCGATTGTGGTGGTGCGAGAGAGAAGCGAAGTAGCCGACGACTCCGATATGCTGCGGACATCCATCGACACTTTCTTCACAGGACGCAGAACTTCCTTCGGCGGGGAGGTGTTTGTCCATGTTTGAAATGGGAACACATGTGCCAGTGGTGGCACCTCGGAAGGATTTTCATCAATTTCTTGGAGTTCACCATTTGACCTTGAGAGCCTTCGATGAATAGAATGTCCTCGTAGCGGTTCATCCACGTCTTCGTCCTCATCGGTTTTGAAGAAGACTGATTTCCCTTCTGGCTCGTCCGGGGCATCGTCCATTGAGCTATGGTCACCTTTGGCTTCAAGAATGGCCCTCATTTCGGCAACTCGTCCGGCTCTAGTGGCATTCCACAGGCGCTTGTTGCGAACACTGGCTCTTCGGAGGCCCGCTGAATCAGTCACTAAGTACGTAAGGACTGCCTCGAATGTGCTCAAAGCATAACCCATTTCACCGCTATCAACATCGTCGATATAGATGAAGTGCTGCATATACAAAAGTCTTGCTTGGAGATGTCTGACCTGGGACCTGATGACCACAATAAGTAACAAGGAGACCAGAATATCCGCGTTTACGGTGACAGGCGCTATCTGTTTCTCCGAGGCTTGAAGATTCGCGTTATCATACGTCCCGGGGTATGATAAGACCTTGACTGTCTCCAGCAAAGTATTGAGCATGTCGTGTGGACACTTTGCGTCCGTCATCTTTCGGAACCCCTCGACCGCTCTTCCGAGCCGATGTAGCAACTCTCTTTTGCCCTCTCGACCTCCTTCGACAACGATACCTACTTGTGAAACATCTAGATTCTCCATATGACGGATTCTGGAATCCAGTTCTGCGTCCTCGGGTTGACGGAAGCTGCATAGTCGAGGGAACAGCAGCGGTTCGTGTACTTGCTCGGCAACATAACGCTCAATCAACCGTTCTACCAGAGGTCCAGTCAGGTCGGTGGTGGCGCCGAGGAGAGACAACTGCTGTTTGTCCACGAGCCGGAACAGATCGATTGCGGCGGTAACTGCTGTCTCCAGGCTGCGGCGCATCAAGTCCTCATCATCTTCGAAGTACTCCTCGGAATTAAAGGGAAGCCCTTCTCTGTTGCGGGACGACGTGCTCCGAATAGAAGCGACTTCATCCACCGAATATTCATCGCGATCCGGTTTACGTTCGTAATCATCAGGGATGGAAGGCGAGCGCGACGGAGGCGGCGGTAACGGTTTCCCCAGTTCTTTCCCAAATTCTCGAAATAGTCTGTCTAAGCCTGGCTGCATCTGTCTTGCAATCATAGGAAAATTGGCCAGCAGTTCTCCGAACGACTTGATTTCCTTCTTCGGTAATGAAGAGGCAGAATCGCCAGATTTGGCGCCTGTATTCGTGACTACTCTTTGAGGTAGCGACCCGGGCACTACAGCAGAGATGATCTTCCCTGGATCGAATAAGCCGATCAACGGGCGGGAGATGTAATAGATAAGCCATGGCTGAGAGTCGGTACTTGGAGTATAGTACAGAGCGTCGGACAGGAGCTGAGCTTGGGTTAGGGATTTGAAGCCTGACAGTTCCATTCAGCACAGGCAGAGAAAACGCAGAACGTAAAGAGACCTTCCTACCTTTATTGCTGTAAACCGAACTCTCTTTGACAATCACGGTTCGCCCGTTGACAGTCGTCACCTGCTTTGCCTTCCCCCTGCTATCACGAACATTCGAATCATCCTTGGCATTCCCGGTAGCTCCATTGGCAATCGGGATTCGCATCGTATGACTTCCCAGAAACTCTTCGGACACCACAAGATCGGAATAGAGGAGGTTGGACTCACGATCTCGCGACCCGATTAAGGATTCCGTGGTCGGAACGAGCAGGACCTACAGCAAAGGTAAGAGTCTATTCCTCAGGCTTAGTCCAACATGATCCCGACAAGACATACATGATTCTCTATCGGCAGACACTGCCCTGGGACAGTGCTTCGGAAGAAGGCACGGAGAAAGGGATTTAGAGGGTGCATCCAAACGGTCTCGGACGACGGCCCGAGAAAGGAATTCTGGCACTCATCAAGCCGTTCTTCTCAATCCCAAAGTCGGGTTTGCGCTGCACCCGGTGATCGTCACAAGAGAGGAGCAGTTCCGGCGCATACGCTCGCTGAGGATCTAGTAACCGCGCAAGACCCGACTATTGCTGAAACCCTCAAACAAAAGTCAAATCTATGTAACGGATGTCGGATGAGGAAAATTTCATACAATCAAAACAAAGTAGATAGCAGAATTGAGATTCACGTAGAAACATTCGCGATCAAAGATGAGGAGCTGGAGCCTTTCAGCCAGCAGCTTTCGGAGACACTGGAGATCATGCGCTAGTCCGTATTTGGTAAGCTGCTAATCATCTATGGCAAGCTTTTGGTTTTTGGTGCATTCAGAACGGTTCCTCAACATCTAAAATGAGAGCGCTCAAGAAAAAG